GGTGGGGTGGGGTGGGGTGGGGTGGGGGCACTTTTTTTCTTTTTTGGATTTTAATTTAATTATTTTAATTATTAATATGTGATTGACGAAAATGTCCCTTTTCAAATTGGTCAAAATATTTAATTTTTTCATTTTTTAGGTCAACTAATGGTAGAACTAACTGTTTTCGTCGATTTAGACTTCAAGTGCTAATTTTTCAAACGTTTGGGACTGCTTGTGGCACAAATTGAAAGTTAAGGTAAAATTTGTAAAAAAAACTCAAAGGTTTGGGACTTGTGCTGCAATTATCCCTTGTCTTTTTCATTTTTGAATATAACATTAGATAACTAAAGGGTTAATTTCACAAATAGTCATTGAAATTATCTAAAAATCACAAAACGGTCACTGAAGTTTAAAACTTACAGAAATGGTCACTGAAATTTTATGTGCTTTCACAAACGATCGCTGAATTTTCAATTGCTTTCACAAACTGTCACTGAAAGACCGTTGTGATTTAAATTCAAACTTAAATGNATCAGTTAATGAAGTTTCATTCGCTACCACAAACGGTCACTGAAGTTTCAATTTGTTTCACAAACGGTCATTGAAGGACCGTTATGAGTTAAATTCAAACTTAAATGACCAAAACACATGAACATAGAACAGTAAGGACCTCAAGTGCAAATTTCATCTAAAACCTAAAATCATTCCCTTCTCAACCCACCACCTTTAGACAACAATAACTACAAACTCTGGCCACCTTGGCCGCCGAACCAATATACCACCTTGAAACCCTTGCTATCCTCTACGCAACCCACCCAAGAATGGATCTTAACTTCATCGGATTTCGCTGGAATTTCGTCCCAAAGTCGGCAACTCGCACGGGACAACACTGCCAGCCTCCACTTTGGGATGAAATTTCACCACTTTTCAGCCACCAAAACCACCGGACCAACACATCACCTTGAAGCCCTCGCTGTCCTCTACGTAATCCATCCAAGAATCACCCCTAAATCCGTCGGATTTGGCCAAAATATCATCCCAAATTCGGCGGTTCGCATAGGACAGCACTGCCAGTCGCCACTTTGGGACCAAATTTCACCACTTTTCTGCCACCAAAACCACAGGAAAAATGCACCACCTTGAAGCCCTCCCTGTCATCTACGTAACCCACCCAAGAATCGCCCCTAAATCAGTTGGATTTGGCCGGAATTTCGTCCCAAAGTGGCGGCTAGCAGTGCTGTCCTGTGCGAGCGGCCGATTTTGGGACGAAATTCCGGCCAAGTCCGATGGAGTTAGGGGTGATTCTTGGATGGGTTACGTAGAGGACATCAAGCGTTTCAAGGTGATATGTTGGTACAGTAGTTTTGGTGGTTAGAAAGTGGTGAAATTTCGTCCCAAATTGGAGGCTGGCAATGCTGTCCTGTGTGAGCGGCCAATTTTGGGATGACATTCCAGCAAAATTTGACAGATTTAGGGGCACTTCTTGGGTGGTTACGTAGAGCACGGCGAGGGCTTCAAGGTAGTGTGTTGGTTTGGTGGTTTGAGTGGTCGGAAAGTGGTCAAATTTCGTCCCAAAGTAGCGGCTGACAGTGCTGTCCTGTGCGAGTTTTCGACTTTGAGACGAAATTCCGGCGGAATCCAATGGAGTTAGGGTCGATTCTTGGGTGGGTTACTAAAGGGTAGCGAGAGCTTCAAGGTGGTATATTGTTTCGGAGGCCAAGGTGGTCGGAGGTTGGAGTTATAATTGTCCAAATGTGGTGGGTTGAGAAGGGAATAGTTTTGGTTTTTAGATGAAATTTGCACTTGAGGTCTTTACTGTTCTACGTTCATGTGTTTTAGTCATTTAAATTTGAATTTAAATCATAACGGTCCTTCAGTGACCGTTTGTGAAACCACATGAAATTTAAATGATCGTTTCTGCAAGTTTTAAACTTTAATGACCGTTTTGTGATTTTTAGGTAACTTCAGTGACCATTTGTGAAATTAACCCAATAATAAAGCAGTAGATTAATCAGTACATGCAAAACTATTCATTAATTCCATGTGTGCTCCGTAATGCACAAATTCTAGATGAGCATGCAGACAAAATGCATGTAAAACACTTAAAAAGGCAAAATGCAGAAATGTAGTAGTAAGAAATTGTAGATCGGGGCGAAAATTAGACAATCTGTCTTTAAGACAATTTACAACACAATGATGCTCAGATTGAAACAACAATTATTTTCCAAGATACAACAATCCATCCTTGTGATAGTAGCACTTTAGACAATATGAGATGATTAATCAGAAGTATATATTGCACTCTCATGAAATATATTAATGCGGGAGAGCTGCTACACTGCTAGAAAATTTTTAACATGCGACTGATAGAATACTCACACTAGGGGGAGGGCCCACAATTTTTTAGAAATTTTTTATTAGAATAGGTCCCGATGCAATGTCAGTATCTGTCAAAACCCATGTCAATATTTTTCTGGCAAAACAGCTTTATTCTTAATGCATAGTATTTGTATTGGGTTAATTTCACAAACGATCACTGAAGTT